AACAATGGAGTCGTCTCCCAAATCTAACATCGATGTTTACCAAAACATCTTCGTGATGCGTCATGGCGATCGAATCGACAATTTCGAACCACTCTGGGTTTCAACCGCCGAGAGACCTTGGGATCCACCTCTCGTTCAAGACGGTATGATTCGTGCTTTTCGTACAGGTCAAAGGATCCGATCTCAGATAGGGTTTCCGATTCACCGTGTCTTTGTCTCTCCTTTCCTCCGTTGCGTTCAGACAGCTTCTGAGGTTGTCTCAGCTCTCTCCGCCGTCAATGTCGATCCTAATGCCATGTCTTCCAAAGATGTTCCTTCCATTGATAACTCTAAGCTCAAGGTCAGATTCAGATTCACCCCAAAATTTGCCCTTTTGGTAGATTTAGGCAGGAATTTCAAATCTGTTGTATATACGAGAAATCAATTTGAGATTTTGTGGTTGGTTGCTTGGTCACTATTGTATTGGTACAGGTTGCTATTGAATTTGGTTTGTGTGAGATGTTGAACTCAGTGGCTATAAGGCGTGAGCTTGCTCCTAAAGATGGAAACTTTGACTTTACGATTTCGGATCTTGAAGCTATGTTTCCTGAGGGAATGGTGGATAGTAATGTTGATATGGTTTATAAAGAGGTGATCTTTCTCTATGACCTTTAAATCAGGGTTTTTTTTACTTTTCCGGATTTAGTAATATATGAACTTGATCCCTTTGTTCCTTTCTCTTCAGTTGCCAAAATGGGAAGAGTCTGTTGAAGGATGCAGAGATCGATATGTTAAAGTTGTGAAAGCTCTTGCTGATAAGTATCCTTCAGAGAACTTGCTTTTAGTCACTCATGGTACGCAAGTTTCCGGCTTTTAGTTCCCTCGTTCATTTTGTATTGCTCGTGTGCATCTGTAGCGAAAACTTGTATGGATCTTGTGTACATTCCTACTCAGTATAAGATGTGAATCAGTTCCATATTGGTGAATGAGGAGTCTTTAATGAACTATGCGCGGTTTCGATATTGTTACATTCTAAGCCTCTTTAATGGAATTTCAGGGGAAGGAGTAGGAACTACATTTTCGACGTTTTATAAAGATACAACTGTGTATGAAGTGGACTACTGTGCTTATGTTGAACTGAGAAGAGAGGTCTCAAGTGAAGATGGGTCTGTTAAAGCTGGGGACTATGAGGTTGTTTTGAGTCATGGTCAAGCTGGAATCGGGTTTAGTCATGATCCTGCCAGTCATGATCCTGTCATAAGCCAAACACCGGTTTAGTCAATTTGTCTTTCAGTTTCCTCTGTTTTCTGTACTTCTGATTGTATTTGAACTGCTTCTGTATTGATTACGAAACTTGGTTTCAAAGTTTTCATTCAATCAAATAAGTTTTTTATGGTTCTAACTAAAAAGATACTTTCGGAACAAGGAAACAAGAATTGTCATTACATAAGAATGTAGTTAGATTGTTGCTTGACACATCTAAGATAGAGAATGATTCAAATTAGACCTAAACACACGAAGAAACAATCTACAAGCAATAAAAACAACAATCTACGGACTCCGAATTGGATCGACTTGATCAAACATGTCAGCCGGAAAGTCGTCTAAGAAAACATCATCATCATCTTTAGAACCATGTCTGCATCTTCTCGGTGTAGGCGACGGCTCAAAAAACGGCTGAGGAAGACCGAACAAAGGCTCAGACGAATCAGCTGGTCCAAGAATATCGTAGAAATAAGGGTCATCGAGTCTAGCCAAAAGCTCTCGACTTTCCGGAGAGAAAGGGATAATCCCTTGCTGATTTGCATCAATCTGTGACTCAGAGACAAGATCAGTCCCAAAAGCAAATGGCTGATGCTCTAAATTAATACCCAATTCCGGCAATCTCAAGGATTCATCAACTGTTTCAGATGCATAAGGAAGTATCTTC